ACATATGCTCCCCTTATCAGCTTTCCTTATAACAATATCTTTGTTTGACAGTAGTTCTTTGAGGGCCTTTCTTTCTCCCCTATTGATGTTGGATTTTCTCAGGTTTGTATTGATGTACTCCCCTCTCCTTTTACTCACCCATTCCTTTTTTATACTAGATATCTCTTCTATTGTTGCGATGCAATTATTCGATAGTTTCGATGTAGGTGGCACCCAACTGGTTTTGAAATATCTCTTGTAGTCTAATAGGTATGGGTTTGTATTGTCTGCGTTATCCTTATTGTTGTTGAAGTAATCTTTTAGTTTTATACTTCTAATCATCTTGTCAATGCCCTCTATTACTTCTGTTGTCTTGATGCTTCTAGGGGTGCATATGAATCCTAATCCTTTACTTAGTAAGCTAATCTGATCCTCCGTAAGTAGATGTCCAGAAATATTCATGATATTGGATTGATTACGCTCCATATGTGGACGCGTATTCTTTACAGGTTTTTTATACTGTATAGAGTGCAATGGTTGACTCTATATGCTTCCATGAACGTTCTGATGCAAGTGCACTGTTCATCGTTCCTGCATGCATTGTTCAGTATATTTTGCCTTCTCATGAATGATTTCAGGAGTGGATGTGGATCCTTCTTTATGTTCTCCTTGTTGCAGTTGGCATCCTGGAATGGGAGGATATGTTTGACAATATCCACCGACATCTGTCTATTTTGTTCCTTAGGGGATGGATTAATGATTATATTTTTATAAACAAGATAGCCATCTATCACCCTGGTGTCATTATCCAGGGAGAAGGCTATCCTCTTTTTCAATTCATCCGTCCCCTTGAGGCAACTAAATATGATAGTGTTGTTCCCTTCCTTGGTTTTGCGGCCTAGGGAACTGGTTGGGATGGGTCTCTTGACTGCTCCCCTCAGGGTTAGGGTTAGGGTTAGAGTTGCTTTTTTTTTTCTATGTCCATTTTTCAACATTTTCTTCAGTTGCAACCAATGTATATTTTTTGGCGCAGGAGCTTGTTTACCTACGTCCTGCAAAAACAGCCTCTTTACTTTAACACTCAAAAGCATATACTTTAACGCAAAAGCAGATACTTTAACGGTCAAAAGTTGAACGTTCAAAAGTTACGGAACCTTCCTGACTTGCTAAGGCGCTGGCCGACAAACGAAAGCGTAATGTAATGCCAATTAACTTTAATCACGCTCTTCGCTTTCTTCTTTACTCCATTTCCTTAAACATTCTTACATTACAAACTGCCGTTCTGCATTACAACAAGATTCATACGTAACATCTCATAGCGGGCGTTAGTTACGATTTTTCACGGATGTTTCAAACTCAATGGAAATGAAACTCTATATATACTACATCAGGTCGGTTGTAAAACGATTGTAAAGTTGTAAACTTTTACTATGCAGCTAATATTCGGTACATTATGCTTCATAGACTTGCTAATTATTATACGACGTCTGCATTGTAAATCATTCGTGCAATACTTATGCAAGCTCTACAACTTATGCTGTAAAATAATCATACATTTACTCACACCGACTTGGCTTAACCAACTGCGTACTGCATTGTACACCAGTCGTACAATACTTAAGCAAGCTATAGAGAAGATTTCCAACCTATGCAGTAAAATGTTCGTACATTCCTCATTTCTACACACATGTTTGCATTACCTACTGCCGTACAGAATTACAAATTGCTACATACTAGATTACACATGTTCGTTAATATATAGAACATTTACAACCTATGCAGTACAATATTCGTACACGAGTACAACTTGCTTCATTCGTCTCGTCTCATTGCCTGCATTACTGTTAGGCTTCTTCAGGGATGTTTCAAAATTAATGCAATTGAAACTGTATATATACTACATCAGGTCGGTAGTAAAATGATAATTAATGATATAATACATTGATAATTAACTAATAAACTGTACATTATGCTCCATAGACTTGCTAATGATTATACGACCTCTGCATTGTAAACATTGTAAAACAGTCGTAAAATAGTTAAGCAGGCTATACATAAAATTTACAACCTATGCAGCAACATTATCGAAAACTACTTACTGGCTGCTTAATGATTGTCAATGACAATTGTAACATTTACAACATGTGTATACAAAGTTCGTTCAATATTTCGTTCTTTACCCAGTGGGCTGATTCTGTCAGTCTTCTTTTTCAAATTGCGCTTCAATGTTTTCGCACTATCTTCTGTCCAGTTTTCTTTGTGCCTGGACATATTTGAATAACTTTTTACTGACATTCACTACTGCCTCGAATTCTTCTTTTGGTAACGAATTCGAGGTTACTTCTCTGGATTTTGTTTTTTTACTTCTATTATTATTCCAATCCGTTGATTCTTTGTTTCGTTTTTTTCTTATCTTGTACTTTGATGGGATGTTGCGAGCGTTTTTTACTTTTATTTTTATTCCAATCCGTTGATTCTTTGTTTCGGTTTTTCTTATCTTGTACTTTGTTGGGATGTTGCGAGCGTTTCAAAAACATTTTGTTTCTCTGGATTTTGTTTTTTTACTTCTATTATTATTCCAATCCGTTGATTCTTTGTTTCGTTTTTTTCTTATCTTGTACTTTGATGGGATGTTGCGAGCGTTTTTTACTTTTATTTTTATTCCAATCCGTTGATTCTTTGTTTCGGTTTTTCTTATCTTGTACTTTGTTGGGATGTTGCGAGCGTTTCAAAAACATTTTGTTTCTGCCCAAAGGGCTCGACCTGGCTTTCCTAGAAAAAAAAATTTCACAATATTTGCGAAACCTGTATGACCTTTTAAAAATTTGTAAAATACATTTTAAATCCTGTAGAACCTGTTCAAACCTGTACAACCTGTAAAAACCTCAAAACGGACAGACCTATAACCGCAAGAAAACATGCTTTGAAAATAATTTTTAGATGCTTTGTTAATAAATTATTTATAATTATTAATTATCGATTGAATATTTAACTACAACAAATCATCATCCCCCAAGAAATCAGACCATTATCTGCAGGACAAAATGGTTTAACATTAATTATATATGACTATTTTTGTATATCACTTATAACAATTTTAAACAATAACATTAGGCGTAGTATGATCAAACACCACAACAGTTAAAACATAATACTTAAACCAGTACCCAGCTCACCAATACCAAACATACACCGCAAAGTGTATGATGTGAAACAAGACAGAATACACACAACCAAGAACACATCAAGAACAGTGAGAAAACAGATGTCCCTACATACCTTTGCGATTAATTACTTTATGCCTTAGCCTACCTATGTACAAAATTAAACTACCTTATGCCTTAGCCTACCTATGTACATAATTATCTTATGCCTTAGGCTACCTACGTAAAAAATTACCTTATGCCTTAGTCTACCTATGTAATTAATTACACACCCTACCTATCTATGTTCAATTAATTTAGCTAAATCCAATTTATAAAAAGAGAACAAGTAGTAAAACGGAAAAAAAATACTGCAAAACAAACAATGTATGCGTGTATGTATGCACGAGAAGCCGCTAAGAAAGAGCTCATAGAACCTCCTGGTAGAGAAACCTTCACAAAATAAATTACAACAAAACAAAAATACAAATATAACAAATAAAAATAATTAAAGATAACCAGAAAAGAAGAAAACCGCGAAACAAATACCAATGATTGAAAAAAATACTTATATTAATTCTGTGCGATAATCTTCCAAACCGTCAACCTATTCACTGCAGGACAACATGCGCTCAAAACAACACTCGTGTTAATATTTTGGCGATGATACTCCAAGCCATCAGACCATAACTGTAGGTCATCATACTCTGAAAATAATTTTTAGTGCTTTATTAATAAATTATTTATAACTACATGAATTAATAACATTTAGTGTAGTAACAAGTAAAAAAATTACTTAAACCATTACCAATCCCACCAATACCAAGCCGCACCCCATACCTGTAAAGTGTATGATGCAAAACAAGACAAAAGACACAACAAAAAACACACAGAGAAAAGTGAGAAGACAAAAGTCCCTTCCTACCTATGTAATAAATTACCTTATGCCTTAGCCTACTTATGTAATAAATTACCTTATGCTTTAGCCTATCTATAAAATAAATTACCTTATGCCTTAGCCTACCTATGTAATAAATTATCATATGTCTCAGCCTACCTATGTACAATTAATTTAGCTAATTCTTATGTAGAAAGAAAATAAGGAGTAAAACAGAAGAAACAATACAACCACACAAACAATGTATATGTGTATGTATGCAAGAGCAGCAGCCTACCACACCACGTCACAAAACCCACCGCTAGAAAAACCACAAAAAATAATTACAGCAGAACAACACAAATAAAATGAATAAAAATATTTAAAAATAAGCAGAAAAGAAGCAGAAAAGAAGAAAACAGCGAAACCAATATTAACGCTAGCAGAAGAATACTTATCTTAATTCTGTGCCGATCATCTTGACAACACATAACTGACAAAATGCGCTCAAAAAATCTTTGAGCACATCTTCTGACGATGATACTCCAAGCCATCAGACCGTAAACGTAGGACATCATGCTCTGAAAATAATTTTTCATTGCTCAATTTAAAAAATTAGTTATAACCACATGAATTAATCACATTAAGTGTAGTAACAAGTAAAAAACTACTCAAATTATACCAATCTCACCAATACCAAGCCGCATACCTATAAAACTATTTAAATTATACCAATCACACCAATACCAAGCCGCAACGCATATGTGTAGAGTGTATGATGCAAAACAAGACAAACGACACAACAAAATACACACCGAGAAGAGTGAGAAGACAAAAGTCCCTTCCTACCTATGTAATAAATTACCTTATGCCTTAGCCTACCTATATAATAAATTACCTTATGCATTAGCCTACCTAAGTAATAAATTACTTAATGCCTTAGCCTACCTATGTAATAAATTATCATATGTCTCAGCCTACCTATGTACAATTAATTTAGCTAATTCTTATGTAGAAAGAAAAGAAGGAGTAAACAGAAGAAACAACACTGCCA